CAACTGAACCGTGGTGAAATCGAAAACATGAGACGGATTGCCAATATACTTCCGGAACGTAGAAACATGAAATACTGGATGCACACTCGACAAACTAGGTGGCAAGGCAAGCTTGTAAGCCACCTCCCCAATCCTCTGAAGTACCTCAAAAGGACCAATAAACCGAGGGCTCAACTTTCCCTTCTTTCCGAACCTCATAACACCCTTCATGGGTGAAACCTTCAATAGAACCTTCTCCCAACCATGTAAGCAACATCACGGACATTCCTGTCGGTATAACTCTTCTGTCTAGACTGCGCCGTGCTAAGCCGCTCCTGAATCAATTTAACCTTGTCCAAAGCATCCTGAACCAAGTCATTACCAAATAGCCTAGACTCACCCGACTCAAACCAACCCACCGAAGATCTACATCGCCTCCCATACAAAGCCTCATACGGAGTTATCTGAATGCTCGACTGATATATGTTGTTGTAAGCAAACTCCGCGAGCGGCAGAAACTGGTCCCATGAAGCCCCGAAATCAATGATACAAGCACGTAGCATCTCCTCCAATATCTGAAAGGTGCGCTCGGACTATCCCTCCGTCTGAGGGTGAAATGCTGTACCCAACTCAACCTGAGTGCCCAACTCTCGCTGCACGACTCTCCAAAACTGTGATGTAAACTGTGTGCCTCTATTTGAAATGATGGAAACCGGTACACCGTGAAGGTGCACAATCTGTCTGATGTAAATCTCAGCCAACCGCTCTGAAGAATAAGTAGTACCAACTAGAATGAAGTGCGCGGACTTGGTCAGCCAATCCACAATCAACCAAATAGCATCGAACTTCCTCGAAGTCCATGGGAGCCCAACTACGAAATCCATGGTGATCCACTCCCACTTCCACTCTGGAATCTCTATCTTCTGAAGCAATCCACCCGGTCTCTAATGCTCATATTTTACATGATGACAGTTAAGACACCGAGATACAAACCCAACTATATCGTTCTTCATCCTCCTCCACCAATAATGTTGTCTTAAGGAAAAATAAGGACTGCTGGCGTCGGGTAGCTACCTCATAAAGCTTCGAAGATCAACCGTGCATGATATCAATGCCCACCGTGTCCAAAAACACCTGGATCTGCACACGAAGTGCAGGGTGTAACCTAGGCTCATGATTCGTGAGACCTATGTAACCTAGGTGTGCATCCCGATCCATATACATACAACCCTAAGGCTCGTTGTGGCATGCAACCCGTTCCATATACATACATATAGCTCACAACTTGGCACTCAGGCCCAAACTCAGTCACCAATCTCTCTAGTCTCTCGGGCTCTCAGAAATTGTAAAAATTAGCCCACATAGAGATAATATAATGTATCAATAAGAAACAAGAAGAGACTGAGATACGGCACAAGTAAAACTGTGACTGAGTACAAGACAACAATTAGCAAATAATTCAACAAGTACACGACCTCTGCGGGTCTCGATAGTGTCAACACGTGGCCTAAACAAGATTTCTAACATGATTAGCAGTCAAATTTCTATAACACATGGAGAGCATATGGCTAACAACAAGTTATTCAACCTTACAATTCCACGGAATGGACCAAGTCATAATTCCTACGATGCACGCCCACACGCCCGTCACCTAGCATGTGCATCACCTCCAAACCAATTACATAACGCATAATCCGGGGTTTCATACCCTTAGAACTAGATTTAGAACTGTTACTTACCTCAATTCGAGCAAACCTCTACTCTAATATGCCTTTGCCTCGCAAGTCGGCCTCCAAATGTCCCGAATCTAGCGACAAACAGTACAATACAATCAATATTAGCTAAAGGAATCAATTCCACAAGAAAATACGAAATTGGCCAAAAGCCGGCCCCCGGGCCCACGTCTCAAAATCCAAAAAAGTCACAAAACCCGAAAGCCCATTTACTCACGAGTCTAACCATACCAAATTTGTCAAAATTCGATACAAAATGGCCATTCAAATCCTCAAAATTGACTCTCCAAATCCCTAGCTTCAAACCCCCAAATTACACCTTAAAAACACACCAACTAGGTGGAAAAATCAGTGGGGAAACATAATTGTTGAAGAAAAATGAACACAAGGAGCTTACCTCAAGAATCCCTTGAAAAATCCTCTCAAAACCCTCAAAAATCCGAGCTCAAAATTTTAGAAATGGCAAAAATCTCGGAACCTTCGCTTAGATAGGTTCTGCCCAGGCCTTCTGCACCTGCGCCAAAATCCGCTTCTGCGGTGAAAATTGCGCTTCTGCGGAAGTCACTTAGCCCCAGCTACCTCCGCTTCTACGACGTCTGGCCCGCATCTGCAGCTTCGCAGGTGCGGGAAAATTTTCGCACCTGTGACCCCCATGTTCCTCTCTTCCTTGCCCGCTTCTACGGGCTTGCACCTGCAGTTCCCCATCCGCAGGTGCGATTACACCAGCAGGAATCACACTTGAGCAATCCTTCAACATCCAACTTTGATCCGTTAGCCACCTGAAATCAACCCGAGGCCCCCGAGACCTCAACCAAATATACTAACAAGTCTTAAATCACGATGCGAACATAGTCGAGCCTTCAAACCACCTCAAACAACATAAGAAACACAAATCGTACATAGATTCAAGCCTAATGAGCTTTGAAATTTCCAAATTCTACAAACGACGTCGAAACCTATCAAATCACGTCCGATTGACCTCAAATTTTGCACACAAGTCACAAATGACACCACGAACCTACTCCAACTTCCGAAAATCCAATCCGATCCCGATATCAAAACGTCCACTCCCGATCAAACTTTTCAAAATTCTGACATTCACCATTCAAGCCTAACTCAACTACGGACCTCCAAATCACAATCCGGACACGCTCCTTAGTCCAAAATCACCTAACGAAGCTAACGAACCCGTCAAAATTCAAATTCGAGGTCGTTTATACATATGTCGATATCCGATCAACTTTTCCAACTTAAGCTTTCAATTATGAGACTATGTGTCTCCATTCACTCGGAAATCTCTCCGTACCCGAACCAACCAACCCGGTAAGTCATATAACAGCTGTAGAGTACAAAAGGAGCAAAAAATGAGGCAACGGGGCTACAACTCTCGAAACGCTCGGCCGGGTCGTTACAATCCGTCCCAATACCAGCCCTTACTCCCATATTCAAATTCAAACCTCCCAGAGTTCAAGTCATGACAAGCCCAAAAAGACGGGCCATAAAAGTCTTCCGTTAACCAAGCGTCTTCATCAATAACCTTATATTTCATCCCCAGATGTCATGTTGAGAGAACTAGAAACACGTTAAGAGAAAAATCAAATTATTATAAAAATAAAAATATTTAAAAAAACAAAACTTGTAAAGATAGAAGTAAAAGTCTAATCTAGAGAAACATCTAACTCTAAGTCCCCGGCAACGGCGCTAAAGACTTGTTGCGGCCAAACGCACACGCAAGTATACACGGTCGTCAAGTAATAAAGTGACTAAAAGTCGGATGTCGAACCCACGAGGACTTGTGATTAACTATTAACTAAATTAGACTATCCTAATTATCTAAACAAGGATTAAATCCAAAAGTAGCAATGCTAAAGTAATTAAACTAAAAAGAAAATAACTAATGAACTTTAAATAGAGGAAGAGAAGACTTTTATATTATCAATGTGATGAAAACGATCTAGGGTTATGGGCTATCTAACATTCCTATTGTATTCTTCAATTGAATTGACTAAATTATTTATCTAGTTTATTGGTTAACAGGGTTAATATTGCTCATAAGAATCTGTCAAACTCTTACTCGCCTATTCAAGCTAACCTAATGCCAATATGTCTATGAAATTAGAACTAACAAGAATGAATTTATAATTCCTGAAAATCAACCAAGCAAGGCAATTAGGTATATGTCTATCCTAACCGCGAATCCGTTCCCCGATGCCTAGGTTCAAGAACTTGCTGTACTCCTATGTGCAATCTAGAATTCCCACTTTCGAATTCAATTCTAGATTCGTAGATAATATTTAATTGGTGATCAAGCAATCAAATAATTAAGCGCAAGATTGAATAAATAAACTAATATGATAAACTAAGAAATCAAAATCAATATTCAAATAACAATAGTCATGAAAGAACCACAACCCTAGAACATGAAGTTTAGCTCCACACAGACATGGTAGCCAAACAACAAATCATACAAAGAAACATAAAAATTACTAAGTTTGATGGAAGAAAGATGAAACCCGGCCTCCACGGCATCTCTGTGCTCTCCCTTCGTCAAAAGTTGCTCTAAAAAACGTTTTTACATGTATTTATACCAAGTAGGGTCAGGCCCAAACGAAACCACCTTCTCCTGCGCGGAATTGGAAAAATACTCTGTAAAAAATACACAGGCGCGCCACATGGGGCGACGCGCCACGCGGAGTGGTAGTGGACTTTATCAGGAACCTTGCAATTCCGAGGCAGCAGCAAAATAGGCAGCCGCGGCGCCCCACGCGCTGCAACTGCGGGTTTTTCTCAGAGTTTGCCTTTTTGCTTGATTTTTGAAGTTCAGACGTGGTTCTCGACCCCCGAACGCAATCCCAGCTTAATCCTTTGGGCTTTTTACTCAGACTTTAAAGCTCCAAATAGCTCGAATTCGTTCCATAACATCTACGTAGCTCGAAATCACTCCTACAAGGCATAAAACATGCAATTAGTGCAAAACACTAGCGATTAAAGCTCAAACTCAATTAAAATAGTAGTAAATTAGAGTGTAATAAGCGACTAAAATACGAGATTATAGCTTACCATTAGGCGCAATTATCAAGTTGATCTTTGAAGGACTCGATAGAATTTTCCTCCTTGACTTCAGTGTTGGACTATTTTCATCTGGTGCCAAAAATCACGTAGTAATCTCTTTTTTAACATTTCCAATAAGCAATTGAATAAACCATTGACAATAGTTCCACAGCCATTGAAAAGAAAAAGTAAACCTCACTGATTTTTAACCCTGAACCATGATATGAAATAAGCCGATAAAGCATAAATTCAATTTATAAATCGAATCATCGTGAACTTTAGGCTCTTCTTAAAAGCCTTGCATTTTTAGACTATTAACAATCTTCACATTACAACATACAAACAATCTTCAAATACTGCAAAATCAGAATAAAAGAAAAGGAAAGTAGAATGACCACCATTTGCAGCCTATCTAGATACATGTATAACCCGAGAAAGAACAAGAAAGGTGAAAAAACAAAGGAAGAAGAAAAAGAAGATCAAGAATAAAAGCTCTACAAAGGTACTCAAGGCCTCAGGACCAGCTAGTATTTCCTATTAGGATTAATGCGCGAAAAAAGTGAACGCCTTTGCTTCTTTGGTTTAGTTCCAAAGATGAATGAATGTAAAGGAATTCTTGACCTACTCACTGATTGCATTAGTTGTGATTGGTTTCCAGTAAGTCCAAACTCTTGATCCAATTCTGTTATAGTCTTCTCAACATCTACTTGAAGTGTAGTTACACGACGAAAACCAGCTTCTAGTTCCTCACTTACCTTGTTGTTCTCTTGTTTCATGTTCAAAACTTGACCTTGGAATTTTGCAGCTTCATGACTGCTGAATCTGATATCATCTGATTTAATTCCCTCCTTTAGAGCGTTTGCTATTTCGTCTTGAATATTGCATAATGCTGGGAATTTGCGCTCAAGTTCATCTTTCAGTGACAAGGTTTGTGCTAACCATACTGTTAGTTCATTCTGAATTTCCTTCATGTGTTTATATATTGGCTTTATTTCTGATTTTGTTTCTACTCTAGGGCTGTGATCTTGCATTTCCTTGTCTTTGATTTTGGATATTTCACGCTGCAAGTCGTGGAATGTCGTCTTGAATTTCTGAATCTGATGGAAAGTTGAACTGAATCTTAGCCAGAAATCCAAGTTTTCGTCTAGTATTGCATCAATGCTCATCCGGAGTTTTTCCTCAGTTGGCGATACTGATGCATGTTGATCAACCAAAATCGTCTTGATGTCTTCTTCGTCGTTCTCTATAATAGGATTATCTTTGTCCTTCCTTTGTGGTAGATCCTCAAGTTTTAAGCTTCGATCAAATGAAGGATTAGATGCTTGGCATTTTTCTTCCTCCAACTCTTTATTTTCCGAACCATTTCCTTGCTGCAGAAGATTCAATTTTAGACGTAGATTATGTATCTCCTCATCCTTTTTTGTGATAGCACATTTAAGTTCTCTTATCTGAAGTGTGAGGTTGAACTCCGCGTCTCTATCTTTCTTCTCCATATCGCTTAGCTTCTTTGTAACTTCTTTATAATTCTTGAGAATTGTTGTATATTCATTTAACAGAATATTTTCTTTATCCTCCAATCCACTCAACAGCATCTGTTGCCAGTTAAGTTCATCATCCTTCTCCTCATCTTTCTGTATTTGTGTCTCATAAAAACGACTTCCAGATTGAACCAAGACTTTCTCATCACCTTTTCCAGATGGCGTTGGCTCCGAAAATGTGACATGCTTCTTACTGGTTTTTGTAACTTCCGCGTTTTCACTTACAACTATGATAGAACCTTGCTCTTTGTGAACTTCTTTTTCTTTGGTTTTTATGGTACTTAAGTTCTTAGTACCTTCACTTGAACTAGGATGATTTTTTTGTTTTACCGACTCTTCTTGTAACTTGATTTCAACAAGTGTAGTCACTTCATCTGGTGATGAATCCGTTCCATCGTGCTCCTCATCTGGTCTGACGCTACTCAATTTATCGGACAAATGATCAAGATTGGTACGAGCTTCCACAAAGTGAGTTCTTAGGCTATTGTTTTGGTTTACAACATCTTTATTGAGGTTCTCAATTGTTTGCAACTTTGCTTCTATCGCCGTCACCCTGATATTCAGATTGTGTGTGTCGTCAGTTAGAGCTGCTTTATCATCTTCCAAAGATTGAACTTGTGCTTGGAGTTCATCAGCTTCTCTTCTTAATCTCTCAATTAGAAGAGTCTGAGATGAAACTGCTGTTTCTAGGTTGACCACTTTATTCACAAGCTCGTCGATTTTCTCTGCCAGTTGTGACATTGTTAAAGACTCCTTAGAGCTCGCATCAACTTGGTCCTTAATCTTGTCCTGTGACGATTCTATTTCCTTACCAACTTCTTGGTTTGGGATATTATACACATTTGGCTTTATGTCACTAATTTTATCACCAAGATACTTATGTCTGAAGGACTGCAGTTTCTTACAAGAATCTTCCATTTTTTGGAATTCCTCTCTTGCTTCTTGTGTATATATCTTGTTTCTCCTGGAGCTGAGTCAATGTTTCTTGACATGACTGCAATGCAGCTTCAGCCATCAAAGTACAAGCCTCAGCATCCTCAATAACCCGACCCTCGCCAAATTCATCCTCCAATTCACATATCTTCTGCTGCTTTTCCATGATTTGGTTTTCAAGTCCCCGGTACTTTTCAAGTCCATTTTGGTATGAACTCCTTACAAACTCTTTCACAGTTTGTAAGGCCAAAATGTCTTTCTGAAGCTTGTCAATCTCTTCAATAGCTTCACTTTTATTCAAACCAGATTTCGCGACATCTTCTGTTTTGGTTGATTTCTTGCCTTGCCTTTGTTTTGAGGCAGTTGTCATAAGACCCTTCAACTCTTTTATAGGAGCCTTTGGAACCATTGGTATATTATTTGATCCACTCGGCGGGATTTGTGTGAAATCTTTTGGCATTCTTGGGGCACCATATTCATCTTCTTCATCCATTGCTAGTTGTATTTGTTCAGGGAAAATAGTAGCAATAGTGTTGTTGGCTGTCTGTAATTCCTTTGACAAATGATCATATCGTTCAGCCAACGCGCGATAGGCACGATAGGATTCCTCCACAAAGTTTATCAGCTCTGGTCTTTTCTTGTAGTACATTTCAGCCCTTTTTGCAAATGAATCTCCATCTTCTTCAATGAGTTTGATCACACTTTCCACCTTCCCTTGCATATCTGTAACATCAAATATATAAATGGAGTTACTTGTTTTCATAACAAATACTATAAACTATTAGAAAGCAAGAAAAAAGGCAGGAGCTTCCAAGAGAGAATAGAAAGAAAATGGCACATTTGATTGACAGCACTACTTTTGATCACTTTGAAACAATTCTCCCTCCTTAAGGGGATATTAGCAATGGAATAGTACTATTGTGCTTATATTTACTATTTTAGGTTCTTTTTCAATAAGAAGAGGAGCCTTAGAGTAATAGTAAAGTTGTCTCTGTGTGACCTATAAGTCACTGATCAAGCTGTGAAAGCAGCCACTAATGTATGCATTAGGCTAGGCTGCCCCCTTGGGGTGCGGCCCTTCCCTGGACCTTGCATGAACGAGGAATACCTTGTGAAGCGGGCGCTAGAATATATTAGAGAGGCCCTAGTGTTAGATAATCTTTAAATATGGACCATTAAATATTTTAGACCCAAATAGAGCATTTATGATATTGCATTCATACAACTAACTCCAACTAGTTTAGGATTGAAGCATAACTGTTGTTGTAATAAGATTGAGCAATCTACCAGATATTTAGAACCCTTTGTATTTTTCTGCCTGTTTTTAAATTGAACAGAAATGGAGGGGGGAAAGCATTACAATGTAAACAAAAAAATGAAATGAAAAGTTAAAAACTGGAAATATATTCCAAAATCTTGCAGACTTCAATCAAAATATAAGCAAGAATTTTTCCTACAAAACAAATTATTAGCCTTATTATGACATATCATATATTCATGTTTGAATAGTTTACTTCTCTTCCAACAACAAAATATACATCTTTTATATGCTCTTTTTTAATCAATATTGTAAATTTAACAAAAAAAACCAAATAAAGCAGTCTACACTAAGCTCCCGTTATGCGCAGGTCCGGAGAAGGGCAGGACCATAAGGGTCTATTGTACACAGCTTTAATTTACCCTGCGTTTCTGCAAGAGACTGTTTTCACGGCTTGAACCTGTGACCTTTCGGTCATATGACAGCAACTTTACTAGTTACGCCATGCCTCCCCTTCCCAAAATAGAACAAAAAAGCCAAAAAACAAATTATCAAGACCAAAAACCCAATTTGACCTTTTTTTTGTGGAAAAAAATACCTTGAAGGCTTTGTTCAAGCCATTTGGATTGTTTGGTCCTAATGTGGCTAGCTGCCCACCATGAATAAGCATTGCTTGCAGCTCTTTGCAACATCTTGCCAATTCTTGATCTTCTTTTTTCTTCTTTTCTTGTTCAAATAATTCACATGATTAATGAAACTCTTCCTCTCTCTTTCCCCCCAAAAGAAAAGTACCTTAAGAAAGAGGAAGAGTTTCAATTTTCAAACATGAGAAAAAGCACAATGAAAATGAAAAAAGAAAAAGAAAAAACTCAAGATTTTTTTGTTTTGGAGATTAAGGAAAATTATAGTATAATTATTGATTAATGGTTGGGAGCTACTTTCGTTCCAAAATAAGTGTCGGACCCTTCTTTCTCTTTCTTTATTTCAACCTCTCACGTAAAAAGGCTCCTTTAGCAAGTCATAGCCATAGCAAAATTAGCAGATAACTATATCAACGTGGTATCCACTGTTTAACCAACTATTGAACATATATATATTATATATAGTTACAAGTCAAACTTCTATATAACAGCTTCGTTTGTTCCGATATTTTTTGGCTGCTATAGTGAAATGATGTTATAAAAAATATATATTACAACATAGTATAAAAATCGGTTCCAAGAAAAACATGACTTTTATAGTGAATGACTGTAAATTAGGATGTTGTTACAGAGAGATCCCTGTCATTAAAACTGCACAAAACCCCCCGGAAGTATAACTTTCACATTAGCTTGATGTTAAGCGACAAATGATAAGACTAGCACATAATCACGCACAAATTAAAGAGGACAGAGAAGAAAAAACTAACAGCAAAATATATTGAGGTTCGGCTGTTAGCCTATGTTTTTAGGACAAGAGCTGAGAGAGTATTCCACTATGAAAAAGATATGAGTAACCCCTGTTAATTACAACCCCTTATAAAACCCAAAGCCTTTTCCAAGTTGAATATCATGCATGTTTAAGGGATTTTTGAGTATTGAAACAAAGATAATATATTAGAGAAAATAATTAATATTATCTTGAACTTACACTAAGCTGGTAAAAAAGTGTGTTGAGTTGCAATAAAGTTTACATAAAAGGGTCAAAGGGTATATCGATATCGGACTGTGGATGTCAATGTTTAGCTAACCATGATAAGAGTAAGGTGAGAGTATAAGATGGCAGAAGGATCGGTAATAATTTAGCAACCACGTCTTATAGCCCGTTTGGCCAAGTTGCAAAAATCAGCTTATTTTGAGAAGTGTTTTTTTTCAAAAGTGCTTTTCTCAAAAGTACTTTTGGTGAGAAACAGTTTGTGTTTGGCTAATTAGTTTGAAAAGCACTTCTGAGCAGCAATTAGTGTTTGGCCAAGCTTTAAAAAACTGCTTCTAAGTGTATTTTTCTCAAAAGTGCTTTTCAAAAAGGTGCTTTTGGAGAGAAGCTACTTTTTTCTGCTTCTCCAAAACTGCTTCTGCTTCTCCTCAAAAGCACTTTTTTTCCTTCCAAAAGCTTGGCCAAACACCTCAAATTTTGGCCAAAAGTGCTTTTGGCCACAAAAAAAAAAGCACTTTTGACAAAAAAAAGCTTGGCCAAAGAGGCTATTAGTCCCAAACAACTTACGTTCGGCTATTTTGTTAGTTATACAAAGTAATTAAGGATCACATTTAAAACACCTTGATCCATGCTGAACCAACAAGTAGAAGTAGATGTGTTTTTATGTTTGAAGTTGCTTTAGATACTAAATAAAGATCGGTTGAAAGTGGACGTAGCCCCAACAGTGTGATATTGCTTAGTCTACACTGAGGCGAAGCTATGTGTGGTCAAGGGTGGCCAACTGAACACTCTTCGTCGAAAAATTATACTGTGTATAGGGTAATTAATGTTTTTTTACTATGCTCATTATTTTGTTATTCCAGCATTATATATGCTTAAATACTTTTTATTTTTTTAATTTATAAATAATATTTATTTATTGTATAGGTAAGTCCATAATATAAATTAAAAAGGGAAAATCATAATATTAAAAAGTTTAATAAAATAAAAAGAAGATAAATATTTATAATTTAGAGGGTAAAATAGGTATTTGGCAATCCAAAATTTAGAAAATTTAGTTGACTCATGAGTGACCTTCTGAGTGCAATAGGCATAGTTTAGTGACTTTGTTGTCACAAACGAAAGTAAGTGATTTTAGGAGATAATTTGGGATAGTTGAATGACCATTTGAGTAATGGACTCTTAAAACCATACAACAACAATATACCCAGTGTGTATTCCTACGGTGTCAGATTTGGAGAAGTAATGTATACACAGAACTTACCCCTACTTTATAGATGTAAAAGAGGTTGTTTCCGATAGACCAGCTAAAAAAAATAAAAATTAAATAATAGTGAATAAGCCATACTAAAAATAGTAAAGCAACGTTAAAATCATATCACATAGTATATCTCAATTTGACAAGCTAATGCCTTGTGAAAAAGAGATTGTGCACGATGATTGTTCGTCCACTGTGTTCGAAAATAAATTGTGCAAAAATAAATAGAAACAGAAACAAAAGTAGAAAAACTAAAAAGTTCGGAGCTCAACAGAAAATGGTGTGATCTTAAGGAATTTAATCCCCTCACTGTGTAATTGCCCAATATTAATAGATTAATTCCTCCCAGGATAGAACATAACAACTATTCGGTAATACCGGTAATGAAAATTACAAAACTTCATCGAACTCAACAAACGGTAGCAAACCACACTAGAATTTATGTTGTGTTTTGAAAATATGCAGTATGCAGAATAGAGAGAGAGGAGATTGTTTTCAGAATTTCCGTGTGTGAAAAAATGAGGCAAAGCTACTGAATTTATAGTCAAACAGTCTGAGTTAAATAGGTGCGAAGATAAGGTAGTTTCATTTCGACAGAAACATTTGAATTTCTGTTTGGTCGCAAATTTTAAATTCGCAAATAAGCGTTAGAAAATTAACCATAAATTTAAAATATAAAATCCACACAAAAAGAATCAGAATAAATAAAAATAAAAAACGGAAAAAGAAAATAAATTTGGTCCGCTGATTGTGCGCACCAAAAGTTATACTTACAGGATTTTTGAGCTTACCTTGTGGTTTCTTGAAATAAATAAAAAAAAAAAACTTATAAAAAGTATTTTGATATTGGGGGAAATAGAGGTTGGCCTAATTTTATAACCACCCTTAGGTAGTCAAGAAAATTTTAGGAAGGTGAACAGACAACCTAACATGTTACTGTTCTTTTGCCTCTCCTATTTCCCCAACTAATTAGCCCACCAATATTCTCTTTAACATATGGACTGTCCCAACTGTTTCTTGAACTGCTTAGGACCCGTTTGACTATAAAAAATATTTAACTTTTTCTCGAATTGTTTTTACTTTTTTTTTCGAAATCAGCGTTTAGCAATAAGATTTTAAATAATGTTGTTGTTGTTTAAGTTGAATTTCGGAGCTTTTCGAAATTTAAAAAAATTCCAAAAAGTTGTTTTTCAAATTTACTATTCAAATCACTTAAAATTTTGAAAAATAACCCAAAATTGTATTCTTGTCCAAACTCAATTCTAATTTTCAAATATCATTTTTACTTGAATTTTTTTTATTTTTTCCCGGAATTTCACAATTCTTACGTCGAGTCCAAAACTTAATTAATAATTTTTTGAACATAAAATACATTTTTGATGTTAAAAAAAAAAGATACAATAATGGGTATTTCGCAGTTTTATACTGCGAAATGGCTTAACGGATTTTTTGCAGTTAAGGCATTTCGCAGTTTTAAAAAAAATAATTTTTTAATGACATTTCGTAGTACAGTACTGCGAATTACAATTCGTTGTACTGAACTACGAATTGCCCTAATAAAAACGGGTCGTCTTCTTCCCACAGACAACGATCTCCATTAAAAAATCAAACTCAAAGTTTTCTGGTCCCCCACCCCGCCTACAATTTAAAAAAAAAAAAAATTTCGGCCCCATCCGTCCCATAAAGAGCAAGAAGTGTAGGTCCCACACACAAAAGAAGTTTTGGATTGCGTGTTTCGGGTGCAAAAATTCGATTTCAATAATATTTACATCGAGCTATTTCAATTTAGTTTATGCTGAAACTCATATAGTCATGCATTAGTATTGTTTAGTATGTTTCCATGTGAATTTTTGTTATGTTAGTGTTTAATTTTGTTTCTTTTATATACCCGGTTTGATTTATTTGATATCCGAATTTATGTTATGTTTGTGACCAAAAATGCTACTTGATTGTTTGTGTTAAATAATATTATTTATTTTATTTATTTGTATTGTTGATGTTATGTTCATATTGTATAGCCTTATAGCGTAGTAAAATATAGTGTCTTTTAGCGAAGTAAAATATAGAGCCTTTTAGCGAAGTAAAATGTAGAGCCTTTTAGCATAGTAAAATGTAGAGCCTTTTAGCGTAGAAATTGAGACTTATAATAATTAAGAATTATTCGGTGGTACCGGGCGTCAAAAATCAAGCCTGGAACCCATACATAACTATTATCTCCAATTTCAAAAATCATACTTAATTTAATTTATTAAGTTAATAAAAATCTAAAAATGTTGAAATTGAGACTTATGTGGCACCGGGCGTCAAAAATCAAGCCTGGAACCCATACATAACTATTATCTCCAATTTCAAAAATCATACTTAATTTAATTTATTAAGTTAATAAAAATCTAAAAATGTTGAAATTGAGACTTATAATAATTAAGAATTATTCGGTGGCACCGGGCGTCAAAAATCAAGCCTGGAACCCATACATAACTATTATCTCCAATTTCAAAAATCATACTTAATTTAATTTATTACACTAACACAAACAATTAATTTTGTTTAAATTATAGTAGACGACATGGCGTTTCCTCCGCCTGCGCATCCTGGACCTGCCGAGGATCAGCTACTAGTGCTGCAGGGCGACCATAGGTCATCCTATGTTTGGGAGGGACAGCTAGCGATGCAGCCTCTCCGCCCCAGGAGGCCTGATGATTTGTGGGAGTTTATTGCGGAGCATCGTTTCCATCCGCGCGTAGTAGAGATCCTCCAGACTTCGGGATTATATACCATTTTTCAGCTTGGACGGATGCAGCTTGATTGGTCGCTCATCACGTCCTTGGTAGAGCGGTGGCGACCGGAGACGCATACATTTCACTTGCCCACTGGAGAGGCTACTATCACGCTGCAGGATGTCCAGGTTTTATATGGACTGCGCGTAGAGGGGCGCGCCTTCGCACTGCCCCACCACTGGAGAGGGATGACACGTGCACAG